AACCATGATGAACACACATGTATACTCCAGTAACATATTTTAGTGAAACAAGTTCATGGTTTTTAAGAATATAAACTAATTCAATATAAACTAACCAAGGTGTTTGGTTGTTGTTTTTTTTTTTTGTGCATTTTTAAAACTTTTATTTTTTTCACACCGTGGAACAAATTATGTTCGGAGGTGGAAGGGGGTATATGCAATACATTTTAAATATCTAATAGAAGCAACAAATCCTCGACCTGGATGTATAGGTTTTTGGGGTCTATTCAAGAAAAAAATGCACTACCTAATGGGTTGATATTAAATTTAAATGTATTTCACGTAAAACAATGCATTTATGATACAGCAGTAAAACGTCGCACCTTATGTAGCAGAACAGAAGCCAGTCGTTGCAGTTACATGTGCCAAGAGTCGCACATGCAGCAGCCATACTCGCAATGTTATCAGAAAACTTCATATTGCATCAAAAGTTTTAATCTTGTGAAACATTAAAGACATGGGGAATCATAAACGATTCATACAGTATATACTCATATCACTTTTAACACAAATAATGTAGTGTTAATCTTGTTTAATACGTTAAAAGCGAATATTAATAGATCCAGTAAAATACATTGAACAGGTGTGACCTAAATTATTTATTCGATTGCCCCTTATATGTACAACCAACAAGCAATTCTACTACATTAATCCATACTGAACATTAATAATTACGTCTTAATCAAATGTTCTTTCATTTTTGATCGCTAAGTTGACATAAACTGCCTCATTGATGTAAACCAATGGTAGCTGGTGTCCAAAACCAAGATTTTCTCGATTCGCACTTTACCAGCAGTGAAATCAATAAAAATGGAAAGTATTATTACAGCTACTCCTTCCATCCCCCCTTTAAAAAATAGTTTAACGGGTATTGTGACGTGTTATTTCATATATTCAAATCAAAGCTTTTTGTGTTTCACGGGAAAGGGGGGGGTATGTTTTCAAATTTAAATGAATGAACAATTTTACCGATTTCAAATGACAAAACAGATTGAAACAATAATTTTTTTTATCAGTTTTATATATCAAAATTTAAGGTTTTAAAAACGTAAACAACAAGAATCATTGATTTATTTCAATACTGACATCAATGGTAATTATCTTTAATTCCAGTTACAGAAACAGCAGAAGAAAGGCATTTAAGTTTCTGGCATTGGTTTTAATTTAACAAATCAATTCCTAATGAATTATATTTGGTACCCATATAATTTTTTATTGGCCAAAATACAAGTAATATTGAATATGATGGGTGCAAAATGTAGGCGGGAATCGAAAAATAGCGTTCACTTAAGTTTGTTTTTCTTTTATTTATATTTTGATTGACGAGATCCACTTATATTAGTACAGGCCGTGTTTGCTTGCTATTCAGTCCATATTCATTATATATACATGTATAATGTATGTAGATGTATATCGTTCAATTGTTCATATAAATCTTAGATCCCAGTTAACTCTCAAACTAATACTAACAGTAACTGTTTCTTCCCAAGGTATGAATCACATTTGAAGTGTGTAAACGATGCATTTTAATGTATTTTAAACTAAAAAAAATAATAGATTTCTTTCAGTAACTTGCTTTATTTCTTAATATTTTTTTATGTTTTATCAGAAAACTTTGTTAGGTCTTCAAAGTAAGCCGATTTTGATTTAAATGCAATTTATCTGAGACCCAATTTAAACAAAATGATCCAATTTAAAAATTTTCAGGAAAATCCGCAATTACGTTTGTAAATTTGCCAGCAATTTTACAGTTTGATTAACGTAAATAATTATTTATAAATCTTAATAAATAATTAAAACCAACTTATTTATATAATATGTTCAATATTTCTAGGTTAACTATTTTTCTCAGTTGTCGTACACATCTGTATTTACCTTTACAAGAAAATCATAACACCGATTTTTTTTACACCACCCTTTGATAACCTTTGATATCACTGAGCTGGGGTATAAGTATTTCACATTTCTAACATCCGTGTTAGCCCTGAGGAGCGGGTATTACATGAAAATGGCCAATACACAGTCATACTTCAGTGTGTCGGGTCATAAACGCCCGATAGATGTTGAAGATTTCATGGAGTGGATGATCTTAACAAAGAGTTTTAGACTGTATAAATGAATATAGGTACGCTGTTTTGTCGAATATTTTTTCAAAGGTAGGTATGAATTTCCATCAAAAAATTGATATTCTTTCTTGTACAGAATTCGTACTCTTTATTGTAATATTTATATGAGATGGGAGTATTATTTTGAGCGTATATAATCTCTTCTTTCACTGTTTCATAACGTAAATCATTTGATTCTCTGCAGATGCATTTTTTCTTGTTTTATAAATAATTGGAAAAACCTTTTCTAGGATTATTTTATATTAGTTTATGATATTTGAAAATCAGTGTGTTTTAATTTTCAAAAGATTGTAAGAATTATTTTTTAGAAACATAAAAGGTTTGAGATGAATTGTTTAGAAAACTCTCATTTTATGTAACTGATAGCGGGTAATAGTGAATCAGTACTGTAGATTCCTAAATATACGCGTGGAATTAATTATCGCATAATTTCGCGAGAAGCACCACACACGTAATAAAATTACTTGCATTTATTTTTATGGTGCTGAAATCTACGTTAAATCTCTTGACCAACCGTCCATTTGCAAATTATTATTCTTGCGCTTTGACGTTGAAGAGCCCATTCGCGATAGCAAGTACTCGCGAAAAATAAGGAATTTACATTATTGGAAGAAAATGAAAGAAACCTAAATGTTTTTATTTAATCCAGATAAAAGATGTAAAGAATGTTTTTTCTAAATGTTTTATCAGATTAAAACGTGTAGATACTGTAACGCTTAGTGGCAACGCATTTGAACAAATTACGCTATTTGAAAAAATATATATAAGTGGGTTAAAATAAGGGCTAAATTAACGCACATCAACATTTGTTTTACCATTTACCTATGGACACTTCACTCCTTTGAAAAAAAAGAAAAAAATTTAAAAAAATTCAGGACTTAAATTTTAATAAATAGTCCATTGTTTTGTTATATTTCTCTCAAAAATCTGATGAATTGTTTATAAATTTCATTTGATTCGATACGCATTAGTATGTTCTACGTGTTTACAATTTTTAAAAGAATGTAAATTATTGACAAACAAGTTGTGAAAGAAGAATTTCAACTGTCTTGTTTAAAGTCATCATTTTGTAAGTTCTATGGTCGATACAATGACCTTGTCAGCAAATACAATTTATCATTGAGTCAAATGTTGACTGACGTTTTTCATACTTATTGTTAGTCCATTATTTATACACTGAATTGACGACGGATTTTTCCCTTATTTCCCGATCATGACAAGGAGCACACGGCAGGTGTGACCGGTCGGCAGGGGATGCTCACTCCTCCATGGCACCTGATCCCACCTCTGATGTTTCGGAGGTTTGTATTTGCTCTTCTCCTATTTTGTACTGTTTTATGGACCTTCGATCTTGAATACTGTTTGTTATCTCCATATGTTTTATTGATGTACCCTCATCGAGAATGAAGAGAAGACAGGTAGAAAGACCCCCAGTCCAACTCATTTCTTTCCCACCTTATCACACGTCTTTCCATCAGTTGCATGACATTGATATCCTTTCTCTCAATAAATATGAATTAACGTGTAATAGAAGAAACAATTGATATAAGCATTCCTGAAAAAATCAAACACCATCATATCAAAGAACATTTAAGCAACAACAGCCAACTGACTACACTTAAGTTAAAACTAGCAAACGTTGATACAATATAAATCCAATTAAAATAAAACAAAAAACAGAATTATATAAAAATAAAATGCATGAATATTTTTTCCCATATCTTTTAATTTTAAACAAATAGCTTTTAGCAAAAAAAAAAAGTAAAATAAAAAAAAATTTGAATTTTTTTTTAAATAAAAAGTCATAATATTATGCAGAGTGTAATAATTTTAAAGTACCTTCAGTGGAAATATAATAATCGCTACATTTTTCCTACGAAAAAGCAATGCTATAAGTCATTTTTTTTTCCCAATTTCATCTGCCGAGCTTATTAAAAACTGCATAGAAAGGAACGAGAATCGTGCTTTTATTTTTTTTTAAAAATCGTTATTCCACAATTTCTTTAAAATAAATTTCTCTTTTAAAGCATTTACGAGAACTTGCAAATAATCAAACCCTGAAATATCCTTGAAACCTCAACATATATGATTCTTAAGGGATCTCATTACCAAAAGTTATCCAACTTGGTTCAGTTTCTTATATTTCATACTAGAATTTGCACGAATATTGACAAGTTGTTAAACAAAGCACTTTGAAATTGAAGTGCGTTAATTTGGTTCCAAATTTTACGCAGCTTGGAAAAAAATCAAAGTATTTAATCTTTCAAAGTTCGTTGTAACATTGCTTACCGTTTTAATAATGTCTGATTAAAACCTTTTCATGTTACTCAGACAAATTTGGCTTTTAATAATTCGGAAATGGGGATGGGGATTTTGACATAAAATTGCATATCAATCACATCGGTCGATAAATTTGAAAGGTTGAATTTTTTTTCAAAATCATTTTAATATCACTTTTATGTACCCTGAATGCAAAATTGTTAATTTGAAGATATACAAACCGTAGTTTTAAAATGAAATATAAACTAAAAACTCAAAATACTCTAGGTTGCAGTTAAGAACTTTTATGCTTTTTTTTCAATCTTTAAGAAAATTTCGTTGAACATGTGTTTAGTGTTTTTTTTCATTGTGCTTAACTTAGATTTTTTTTCTTAATTTATTTCAGAGTATTGAGAGATGTTTGAAAGGCATGACGTTTTCATATCTCTGTGTTGTATAACAATAACATCTTTTGTTATTATCCTGTGTTTAATTCCAAAACGAGAACGTTTTCTTGGGACTGACTTGTCTGAAATTGTTACCTATGACTCATCATTCAACGATGCAAATATAAATATGACCAATAAAGTGTACAATAACTCACTTCCAAGGATATATCGCACACATTGGTTTCAAGCAGAGGAGTACTTTGTAGATCATTTACGGTATTACGACAGTTCAAAATGTTCAGTACCGAACTGTTTCTTGGAAACTAATATTTCTAATGCAGATATAGTGATATTCAGTCAAAAACGTATTCCTAAAAGAGTGATCAAGAAAGAAAAAGGACAAATTTGGGTATTTGATACAGCAGAAAGCCCGTATAACACGGTGAAGCCAAAAAAAGAATGGATGAAACATTTTGATTTATCCATGTCGTATATGGAGGAATCGGATATTTATGTACCACTGTATGGTAAGCTGCTAAAAGTGAATGATCCTGTCATCAAAAACTACACCGGAATACTCAGTGATAAAACCATAGACGCAGTATGGGTTTCAGGCCACTGTCCAACCCCGTCAAGAAGAGAAAAACTGGTTGCAGAGCTAAGCAAATATTTAAAAGTGGATACATATGGCAAATGTGGAACTAAAAAATGTGGCAAACAATACGATAACTTGAATGGATGCCAGGCCATGTTTGAAAGAAATTACAAGTTCTTTCTATCTTTTGAGAATTCGTTATGTAAAGGTTACACCACAGAGAAATTGTTTTCACTTTATTTGAACCGTGCTCACCTAATTCCAGTTATAAATGGACCTAAGGACGCTAGTCAGTATCTCCCTACTGGAACTTACATTAACAGTCAGGATTTCCCTTCTGTCAGTCTTTTAGCCAAGGAATTAATCAGAATAGGTTCTAATGAAACAGAATACATACGTTACTTAAAAGAAAAGGACAAATTTCTTCCTCAACCATTCCGAAAAACCGTTTTTGATGCGCAATGTGATTTATGCAAATATGTAAGAGACGTATACAACGGGAAAAAGATGAGGAGAAACAAATCCTGGCACAATGTTTTAAATCCAGACGTGTATTGTACGACGGGTATATAAAAAATAGAATAGTACTAGTGTAAGTTAACGTTTTAATTCTGAAAATGATATGGCAGGTAATACATGTATTATATTTATATAAACAGAGAAAGGGATTTTTGCAAGAAGGTGCATTTGCAGCAGTTAACATATGGTTAAGGTTACAAATGGAAATATCGGCGACTTTTTAAGAGGAAAAAGTACATACTTTATTAGCATGGGCGATTCTTTTTGGGACTTCACTGATATAAAAAAAATGTAACGTGGTTTAAATCTACATGTTGGGGACATTTACATTTTTTATTTAGACTTGTCACGTGATGTCGACGTCACAAGATTTTAGCAATTATACTTGCAGTTTAGAGATAGGTTAAATTCCAATATTGCAAGGGCATAACCAAGTTATAAATCTTAAATTAATTTATAACCTTTTTCAACACTATATGTAGTTTGCGAAAAGTGCTGCGAATCTATATAGATTCCCTTTTTTAATTCCTAAAATTTAATTTTTTATACAGCAGGTTGAATATTTTGCTGATCAACTACATTAAATAAAGCTATAATTAATTTATTTGCAATATTTCATGAGGTTCGCAGCACTTTTCAATATCTTAATGCTTCTCGGGTTTATGTGTAAAAACTTGACAAGATACATGTACATTGAGGGTATGCCCTTGCAGTAAATCGATTTATCAGGGCCCTTCCATTACATTTTCAATCAATCTGCATGCAAACATACGAACATATCACTTGTCTGGAGAATGTACGGACAGTTTATAAATAAAATACTAAAACAGACATCGCATTCAAGTTAACGGCTTTTTCTTTAACTGCAAATAATATTTTATTTGAGAAGAAAAGACATTTTTCATTGAACAGAATGTGACTTGATCAGCCTTTCACTGTGTACAAACTGCGTTATTTTTGCGAGATGACGTCATACTGAAAAGTGCATTGAGATCGATGCATCGTTTATATACTGTTGTGTGGGATTTAACAAGCGACAAAACTGCATGTAATGGTAAGTATGTATGTAGTAAACGGCAATCCAGCTGTTTGAAATAGCAAATAATTTCATTTTGTGGTATTTTGAAAACCTTATATTATGTGTGACGTCATAGTAAACATTTTCCGTACAAATTAAGGCCCCGCCTCCTTACTGTAACCTTAAATGTGCTGCGTTTTCTCTTTTTTTTTAATTTTAACATTAAAAAAGGAACATCTATTTATAAAACTAAACAATAAGTTGATGAAAAGAAAATTTGAAGATTAAGGAATTTATAAAAAGACTGAGATAAAAAACAAAACAAATTTTCATTCCATAACAACACATAGCAATGGGTTGTCTAAAAATGGTTCCTCCTTACTCTGTAGACATGTATAATTCCGTGCATCGACTAATAAGTAAGAGTCCACGGACAACTGTGTATTTGGGCGGACCTGCTCACGAACAGTGACTTAATCAAAAAAGCTTCAGTTGAGTTTAAACGAAACATTACTACTAGATTTATGAATCCTAATAACAATAATCGAACAGTACAGGAATTTATAAGCTTTTGATAAAACAAAAAGATTACCAGTCATATAGATCTTTCCTCTTGCTATCCTGCATTGGTCCTTTTTGTTTGGATTAAATACATCAAGGTCATTGACAGCACTACAGATTGATATGGTACATGTACATTATATACTAAGTACATGCATTAGTCTTGTTTCCCCTACTCCTTTTGCAATCCACAGATATGGGAAAATAGAATATTGGACAGAGTTGTTATCTAAAATCTTATTTATTTATTATTCATATTTTATTTAATGAAAGCACTTAAAATTTTTAAAACTGAGAATTCTTTGTGGATATATCTCATGTTTTTATTCTCTTTTGGCCTGGAGGGAACAGATTGCAGATTTTAATATACGACTTTATATTTTTCTACATCAGGCATGAACAAGATGGAAGATATAAACTAAATGGTAACAGTAGACTAGAAATGACTAGCTGCTTCATGGCCTGCATATTCAAAAGTAAGATAAAAATTCAATACCGTGTTATTGCTGGCAGACTCTAATATGTAGCAGTAATGAGTTGTAAATTCGTCAAAAGTATTATTTGTAAAATATAGCGGTAATGATGTGTAATGGGCGCGTCTTTTCGAAGAATAGAAATTGTAATGAGTTGAAAATCTTTCCAATTAAACTGTAATGTTGAACTCCCGTGTTAAACGGTATACTATGAAACCAATTTTTCTTCATTTTTGAGTTTTATCAGAAAAAAACAAATATCCTCTATTTCCAAGCATATGTTTTACACTCATCTTAGTTATAAATCATATTGATATATATTTTAACGAAGAAACGTTTTCTCATGAACAAACAATCATATACTGTAAGTTTTGTTTTATTATATTAGACCACCTCCGAGGCAATTACAAATGCATGAAAATTCCAATTTTCAATGTATTTAAAATACGTTTAAACAAAAACGTGTATACATGAGGTTTTTCTTAATTCCCTGATTTAATAGTCGCAACCCAATGCTTTCCGCTTCGCCTCTTCTCTCTTCAGGGACAATAACCACTGTTCCGGATGAACCTGGAAATTATTACATGTAGGAAAATTGGGAGGGAGTTGTGGCATATCCTTGACCTCTCCCTCCTGCATAACCAAGTTCATGCCTTGAGTTTGATGGTGTCCGTAATGGCAGTGCATAAACCAAAAACCTAAAACAAATTTATGTGTAAACAAATATAATATACAGGTTAGCGTATAGGTTTCATGACGTACACTATCTTATCACCAGAATTCTCTGGGGATCAATGATCATAGTTTTCTCAGGTAACCCTTTACCATGAATTTTATCTATACGAACAACTATTTTGACAACATTTTTGTATGTTTCTGTAGAATCGTCTGCATATGCAAGTTACCGAAAGTAATGTCCCCAAGAACCGAAAACATTTACATGTAGCTTGCCCTAGAACACTGACACCCAAAGCATTAAAATGATTTATGAACAGCTGCTATGGAATGTTTTTATCTTCTATCATAATCTTAGATCCGTCTATGATATAAAATGGTTCATTTAGATGGAAATATATTTACCTGGGTTATCAGCCTTAAGTCTTACTATGACGTAACCATTGGCAGGAATAACCACTGTGTCTCTAACGATAGGATTTACAAGATTAACACCAGGAATATTCCCTGTATTCCATGTAGGATTCGTCCATGTTGCTCTTGTACAATGCTCGTCCAAACACGTAATATCTGGATTTCGTGAGGTGGTATTTCCGGTCATGAAATCATATGGCGGGTATCCGATTTTTAGGACATGAAAGTGATGCCCATGTAAATGTACAGGGTGGGCAGCTTTTATATCACCTGGAAATTTACAAAGAGGTATATTTACCTATATACTAGTAATGAAATATGACAGTTCCTTATATAAATAAAACAATTAATTAAATTGTAAATTTCCTTACTAAAGGAAAAAAAGACAAAATCGATTATATTTCCCAATCCAAGTTTTAGCATGTGTGTGCATTGACAGTCGTTAGCAGTACAAGTTTCTGGACCACAAGGAACTATAGCATCTGGACCTGGATAAGTCTGAAATGAGGATTATATGGCGATAATTTATTACAATGATGGCTACTATCACTATATTGCTTTGATATTTGCTATAATTAATTGTTATAATTTTCCAAATGTTTAAATGCTCTAGGGCCCTGCGTACCGAGGAAAGATCAAATTTGATGCCCTTCACCAGTAAATATAAAATACATGGTTACTGTCTTGAAATATAAGCGATATTTGGGCGAGGGTAAGCAAAACGTGATAGAGGGCGAGGCTTGCCGAGCCCTCTTACATTTTCGACCCGAGCCCAAATATCGCTTATATTTCAAGACAGTTATCATGTATTTTGTTTATCCTGCAACATATTTCGAACATTTGAACGTCCAAAATAAGCTATTTCCGACAGATTTAGGCACATCTCTGCAGTTGTAACTATGACGCCATGGCGTAAACATTGCAATATGCATGACGTCACAATGCTTTTAGAACATCGGAATACATGCACGAGGCTTTATTAGGGCAGTGACCGGATAAAGCTTTGGTTCATTAGGTTACCTTTATTGGGTCAATGCAAGGGGTGGTTGCAGGATAAATGGTGTCTATACATGAATGAAAAGTTCTCGAATGGGACTTAAAACAACATACAATTTATCAATCAACCCAATAAGTAAAAAGTTTTTTATTTCCACAAGGTTACCTGTAATGCGGCTGATGGCATGTGGAATCTAATACCATTAATAACTGGTCTTCCCTCTGAAAAAGAGGACAAAATGTTTACATTCAAAATGAATACAACACATATTGATCTTCAAGAAATTAACCATTTGTACGAAGAGCAATGATCTAAAGTGAAAACTAACCATTTGTACGAAGAGAAATCATCTAAAGTGAAACCTTTCTGATCCTGTTACCAGTGTTTCCAAAGAAATAAGCGGCATTAGACAACATTTTAAACAAAGGCGTTATTAAAAGGGGGCTAGAAATTTACATGGTATTAGACACGATGCCGGAATACACAATATACGGATAATATAGAGATACGTTTTCACTGTTCCACTCTTATTGGCTTGTAAATGTCTAAATACATTGCAAAACACTTAAGGAATTCTTGATATTTTAAACATATTTTTTTCATGAGTAATAATATGTGGCCAATTGGTTTACATTGTATAAGAAAATAAAGGCCATTTACGTCAACTTTTAATTTATTGTAAACTTACCCTTAAGAAGGAAATTAAGGAAAAACAACTGTTTTGTGACCCCTGGTGTGACACGAGGGACTGGATTCTTTGACAGGACCAGAGGAGTAGGCTGTAGACTCGTTATAGGTACATTAACTGTGTGTTGGTTTACTGGATAGACTCTGAAAGAAAAATATACATATAAGTCATCTAATCCTTTTTGTCAATTACATTGTACTTTTGCCACTTGATATTTTCATCTCTTCACACTTGTACATCTTCTTAAACTAAGATTTGTCATGACAGAGTTGTAATAAACGGGGGAAAATGCTTCCACTGATTTTGCATTAAGCCTAATTTAAAATTTTCAGACTGGCACCGAGGGTAAGGGAGCAAAAATTCGACTTATCTTGCTCAAATCAATTCAAAACGTTTTAGAAAGTCATTATAATTTAAGGTTCTTTGAAAAAAAAACAGAAATTGAAAAAAAAGATGTTACTATAAAGAGTAGTCATCTAAAAACATCTAAAAAAGAATACAAGTCTGTGAATAGGGCAATAAGCACAGATCCCTGAAATTTGAGAGGCTGGATCAGATGCTAGAGAGAGAAATTCTCCTTTTGTCGGACGGTGAGTCTTTTTTTACGTGAATCACATTTCTGATATACATGTATAATCAACTGTTGTTTATCAATGTAAGAAGAAGAAAAAAAAACATTTTACCCATAAACTTGATTAACAACAACACACGGCATAAAATTTGTGCATTGCCTAGGACGTATCATAGGAGGAATATATTTGTCCACTCCAGCATAATTTAAAACTGCATGGGTACCTTGTCTGCGAGTCATTTCTTCCTATAATGGAGATAATTCAGAACTATTCAAAATCAATTCTTGTGATTTGAAGTAAAAAATGACAAAATCCATGCTTTACAAAAACATACATTTTACTGCATTTTTTCTCTTCTCGAATTTAAAAAGTTTTTTGGAATAAATATCAAAACACAAAATAAATTATATGTCTTGATTAAATGCAAATTCTTGTTTCCATATTTCTAATTTATGATTTTAAAATAAAGATAGTTAAAAATTAGAACATTTTTTTTTTTTAAAAAGAACAAGGCATGCAATGTATTTAAGATTCATTAAATAAATATACCCCTGTTGAACATTTCGTAGCGGCAGTTAAAAAGTTGATGTAGTAGTTATTTAGAGGGCGTCTAGCAAATACAATGAAATCAACTCTTTCAGCAGGTGATATGGTGACGACATCTGCTTTGAATGGAACTACGTCATTTCCGTCGAAAGCAACAATCATGAGTTTATGCTGCAAATTAAAGCAAATAAATAATATTTATTATTATATCAATAGGAGTATATTCCAGGTAATTCTGCCTTTTTCAGTTATTTCAAGTTCTTTCAGATAAGTTGAAAGTTGTTTATTAATATCTAAGCCTAGAATAATTTTAAAGTATTCGCCCTACATGTAATTTTAAGTGCTTTTTCTTTCAAGTCGATTTATCTAGGACATGAAAAAGGATAAATAATATAACATTGCCTTTGAGTATGTTTTATTGCATTTAGTTAAAGATATAATCCCTTTCTTATTTATATAAGTTTCAAATCGGATTTCTTGTTAAAGAAGAGCATACATAACATAAATTAATCACACATTGGAATTTTAAGATTCTGTAAAGTTCTAGAATTAAATAAATTTGAATTTATTTTACAATGTATCATGAAGTCAAGATATCAATGCTTGGCTTCTCCCAGTTGAATGGAACATGAAAAGAGCAAAGAGCACTAACTCTCGAATCCCGCCTACATTTTAAGCCCATTTTATAATATAAATGACAATTTGGTCATTCAGCCTTATTTGAATAAAAAGAAGAATTGATTATAAATTGATATTCATTTTAAAAACAATGTCAAAAATCTTACATAAGTCTTTTTTATAAGGATTGTGGTAAATGTCATTCATTTTAATAAAACATTTTGGCATCACCAGATTATTTAGATACACATGAAATGGGAAATATGATCCTTAAAAGATTTGTTTAATTTTGGTTAATCTTAACATGTATAACTTTTATGCCCTTAGATCGAAAGATCCCGGAGGTATATTGTTTCTGTCCCGTGTGTCTGTTTGTTTGTTTGAATGTCTGTCTATTGTTGTCACTTTGTATGGTCAATTAACTACTGCGCTGTCAAGGGTATGAATTTAATATTTGACATGAATGACAAGACTTTTCAATATATTCAAAGAAATTGACCATGTGACCTCACTGCGATCTTTGACCTACATTTCAAACCCATAAACATCTTACAAATTTATACAATTTCAGTCCCACTCCAAAATTGTGTTACCATCTGGGGCATAGTTCTCAAACACATCTTATTTATTTGTAATCTCATTTTAAATTACTTTTTGGAATTGAAAACTTTTGATGTTTTTCATAAATATATGCTTCCTTTCAAACAACAAAAAATGTTATATGGGTTTGTGAAATAAGATTTCATTATGGTTAGAACAAATGAATGTTTGTTTTACGGGGGATGTTTTAAAACCTTGAAGGTATTTTCCTTTTTTCTACAGTGACATTAATAAATAAGTTTTTCCCTCTACAGTTTTCTCTATTTTCACAAACTTTAACATTAATTAAAATTTTTATAAATATGTGAATAGATATGTTTTAAAAAAACAGGTTCCAAAATGTCAACATTTAAAAATTGACTTAAAGGTATGCAGCAGATCATCGTTCTCAGTTATTCACTGAAGGCTTTGAACCAATCACAACTCGTATTACAAATACATAAATATTTTGTAAAAGTTGATAATCATCACTATTTTTTTCCAAAAGATAATTTGGATGTCAAGATTTATTCATTGTTATATGGGTTTTGTTTTCGGTGAGGAAGAATGAAATCTTGGAAAGTTTTGTTTTCGGTGAGGACGATTAAAATTATTAAGGATAATGCTTACATCATCAATGGAAATTTCAAATGCAGAGCCAATGCCCACATTAGTTACTCTGAAACGGTAATAACGATTCTGTGTTACAGTGAAGGTCTCCAATGGAATATAAGGCTTTTCTGGAAAATTCGGATCGTTGTTAATGTATCGTCTTCCTAAAACAATAAAATATGATTGTTCATTAATGTTTGTACATCTACCGGTAAATACAATTTGTCCACTTTGGTAATTTTAAAAAACAGATTTTTGATAAAATTTTCTTTTTTAGCCTGTGTGTAAAATATCTCTAAATACAGAATATTATTATTATTTATTAAATTTATTAGGGTGTTTTTACAATGATATTGATCCATTTCACACACATACATACCAAGACCATTTACGAGACCCACGTGTAATTGGAATCGACTGGAAGACCCGTCTGGTCGTACAACTTGTGGCAGACATACTCCGTCGTATTCATCCAATCTTAAAATTACAAACATAATCATAAAAAATGGTTTCTTATATAGGAAAGGAACTTTACGTGTGTATTAAATTCTAAACTTAGTGTGATATGTTGTACATAGGAATTGAAGAATCTGATAGGAGTTTATTTTATGTAAGTTTTTTCTTCTTTTCTATTTGAAAATTGAAATACTTGATACATGTGACTGTCTGTGTTTGCTTTTTGTTCGTTACACAAGAATACATAGAGTTGGAATTCATTACAGTGACAAACATTTTGGAGTAAAGGCTAAAACAGTGTTTCTTGTCACTCCTTTTCTTGCATTTACCATCATTTTCATTTTCAGATCTTATCAGTAATAGATACCTCTGATATCTCAATATCTTTTCTGAGATTTGATTTGAATAAATGATATGCCTATTCTCGGCATGACTGTAAAATTATTAAGAATTAAGAATTATTATTTTAATTGTAAATGATTGTAGCATACTTTGCAGTAAGCCTGCAAAATTTATTTTATGATTTCGAGCTATGATATAAAGTCTAATTTCCAAGGATTATTGTAAACAGGATTCTTCTAAGAATATAGAACATTTTTTCTGAAGAAAATTTATGATTAATTTTAATAATAGATAACAGTAGTTACATCTTATCAAGCGTAAACGTATACAAATTTATCTATGAAAATAAAGAATGATTTGCCTTTTAATTTTGATGTTACTTCAATAATATTATTTGCTTAGAATGATACTTGAGATTAACTGTCATATGTCTTACAGCCCCAGTCCCCCTTTTGGAAGAAACTTTTCTAATGTACTCTTTTTCGTCCAGTCTTGCACAAGTACTGAAAATTCTGCATCTACCGCTGGAAGTGGATCATGTGGAAATGTCTGTAATGACAATAAAAATTCAGTATCAATATAATAGCAAACTTAAGGGTTTTGATTACATTGATAGCTTCTTATTAGCTGTAATAAATTTTTTGTTAAGTTTCGAGTGGTAAGTTAATTTTAGTGACTAAGTAGAAATATTAAACATAGAAATTAATGAATTATCAAATTTTCATTTAATTTCTTTCTCTTTTAGAGACGGTACTGATAGCATTGTATCTTTTTATATACATGTGTAGTTGTGATGTAATACATGTATATAAGATTGCTTTTATGATGATCGCGACAAGTCCATATTTTTTAATTTATCATTTAGCTCTCAGTTAAGATCTTTATATGATTAAGAAATGAAAGACTTTGGTTTCTTATATATATTTAAGGACTCATCAGATATGCTTCACATATCATACAAAAGAATAATATCAAATCAAGCCTTTAAGTTTTTGACTTTAAACGACTAGCTTCATAAATTACTTGCAGGTTATCATCAGATGGTTCATACTCAAAATTGTATTTTGCAGCCATTGAGATTTTTTAAATAAAACAATAGGGGCATACAAATTACACTCATAACAAATACAACCATCCGCCCCTGTCACTTTATTATGAGAGCATTTTGTTGTATATTCGAAATTTACTCTCTATACACTCTTACAATTAGAAAGAAAATTAAGGTAGTCCAATTTGATTTTTTAGAAATATTCATGATACTTTAGACTTCCCTTTATTTAGTCAATTCTACATTTACTTACTATAGATGGTCTAATTTTGGGCAATACAATCAGAGCACCTGCTAAACCATCATTCCTCATACTGTTGGTATGGGCATGATACCAGTGTGTGCCTACAGGGGTCGCAACAAATCTGTAAATCAAAAATATTGTATGAAATAAACTCAGTTCAGAAGTCCATTAAACAATACAAAATAGGAGCAGAGCAAACACGGACCTCTGAAACATCAGGGGTGGGATCAGTTGCCATGGAGAAGTGAGCATTCCCTGCCGATCGCGACCGGTCTCATGTTTAAGTTTTTGGATAAATTCTGTTTCATATAAATACAAAAATAGCTCTGTATAATCAACAATTACCGGTCAACAGGGATTGTTTACTCATACTTGGCACCTAATTCAACTTTTGACTTCAGTTCGAATTTGCTCTGCTTCTGATTTTATACCGTTCCATAGGACAACTTACATAATATATTTTAACAGTCCATTTTTCAAAATAAAAATATTCTGCTCAATTTACCTTTAGGTTTATTTTGACTTTGATTAAAATTGTAATAATTCTCTGATTTCTTTTACATCCGTGCTTGTTACAAATAACTTTCTTTGAAGGTTTTATAGGGAATGACTTAAAATAAACGCCTCAAAACCACGCGAACCTGTATTCAAATGTTTGTCCTGGTAAGATTGGACACTGAGTTATCATATCGACTCCGTCCATGAATGGTGTTCCTCTGTGGACCATGCCGTGCCAATGGATAGTCACACCTTCAACTTTCAGATGATTGTGTACACGAACTGAGACCTATAGATATTAAATTTAATTTTCTCTAGTGTGAAATTGAAACCGATAACAAATAATTATTTAATTATTTAAAATTTCAAATAATTAGCACCTATAGGTTAATGGTGTATGAAATAAAATATTTTTTATATCATAATAATTCATTAGTTTTCAGGGTTTTGTTTATTTATGCTGACGAGAAAGCTTTAGAACTTTACACTCGGTGTAATTAAACGTTCTATGGCGATGCTTTTTAGCATTTTTGTTACTTACAATTTGGTCCTCGAAAACAACGATATCAGGTCCAGGGATCTGTCCATTAATAGCGTAAACCATTCTGTAGCTACCATCTCCTGGACTGACATTCTGTTTGAATTCTAGAAGGAAGAAAAATTGTTTAAAATTAGTATTTTCCTATTTTTATTTATATGACTTTAAAAAAAATCAGAGTAAGTGATTCTTAATAAAGGCATTTTATTAGTGTCCAATCACAAGAAATTAAAATTTCCGTCTTTTTTTTTTTTTTTTTTTTTTTTTTTTTTTTTTTTTTTGTTTGTTTTTTTTTTTTTATTGATGATGCAATGATATATGATATATAAAAAAGCTTAGTATTTAATTCTATGTGAAAATGGTTGTATGGGAGGGAGAAAGTATGCTGAGATGCAATTAATTGTCTTTCAAAAAATATTGATTTTCTTTATTCTAAAAGATCTTTATAAATGTGCACCTCTTCTAAGATATAATGTAGCACATGTTTAATGTATGTAAAGTTTTCCATTTACAGTAGTTAATATTTACCTTTTCAATAAATTTCCCATATGATTCTTTACAAAATAAAATGCAGTATATTTTCTCATGAACGACATTAGGTATGTACCACGAATAAGCATAAATATCTATATTGTTACGTTATAATACCGCTCTTGACGTCAGAAAGTCAAAAAATATAGTGCACACTTTTTTGTTTTAAAAATGACAGTTAAACGGCGTAAATTTATGGCAAGTCATCAGAAAAATAATGTATATAAAAAATGAATTTAATTTTTTGAAGATTCATGAGGTATATGAACTACATAGCTTTACGCCGGCATATTTATCATGAAGCGCTAACGCGCTAATATTCAAAAATTAAATTTATTTCTTAATTATTATTTGAGAGAAAGAAAGATAAATGTAGAGGCACTGAAGAGCTTTTTCTCCGATGGCATAAATACATGTATTTGCTCGGTAGAACGTTGAAATGAACAAGATGAATCTAACAAACAATAATCGATTCAGAGAATTCCCCCAACAATACAAATTTGTGAAAAGTACACAGGATACTGTACATGCCTTTAAACGGGTGCTATGCTTAAATTAGAAACAAGGATTCTACTGTATTTAACAGAGCTTTCATACTGTTCTTGACATACTACAGTGCTGGTTTTTTCTTTAAACATGCTGTAAATCACATTTTATTCGCGAGAACTTTATTTTTGCGTAATTACGCGAGACAGTGTGCTCGCGAAAATTTAATTCTCTTGTTTAAAAGGAAACCTAATTATTATATAGAGCAAAAACCACAATTCGAGAAAATTTTGTCTCGCTAATCAAGAGTCAATAACTATCTCGCGAAAATAAAGTGTAGCGAAAATTTAGTGATCTACAGTAGATCAAAAAGTCTTCTATGAAATAAAATAATATATTACGTTTTCATGCCGTTGATGTGATATTAAATATTTCTTAAATTCTTTTATTAAGTTTTTGAATATCAACATTTTGATATCCACCACAGAATATATGCTGCAGCAAACGCACAGTACCCTAACTACAATTGCATTTTCATGAGGAAAAAAAATAATTGCTTTGTAAAGAATATATTCAACAAAACAATGTATCTTTCTTTGTAAGGATGCTTGTTACATAAAAGCACCCAGAATAGGTAGCTAGGGAGGGAAAAAATTCTTTGGCTGACTGGAATGTTAAAAGTATTAAACACTGTGATATGATTTTCCTTATCATAGCTTGTACTGTGCAGTTGAGGAATCTAAGATAGAATTTGCCCTATCTTCTTAAAAAATTCAATTTAGGCATTTCAAGGAAGCGAGGAAATCTTTAAGTCAAATGTGCCGAAAATCACACTTAATGAATTATGTTTAATATTAAAGTCAATGGAAAGAATCATGCCCTATATATCTGTCCACTGAATGATCAATGTTAATGTCTACGTCCTATTTCTAGTTACATTATTAAAAAGTCCCATCACATTCTTGTTGGCATATTGTGGGGCTGAAAGATTCCAAAATTTATTATTTATGTGGTTGTTGACACCATGGGGAAATTTTGGACGTAGTTTCCTTATTCAGTATTCGTAACGTTGCCTACGGCATGATGAAGTTAAAGGATATTTTAAATTTTTATTAGAATAGAGAATTAAAGGCGTAGCTTTGACATCGAAGATGCCGTGGACTAGCGTGCCTTAATGTCTCAATTGATTTTTTTTTACCTTGGAAAACGTTTTACATATGAAATGTTCATTAGTACTGGTCATCAATGCAATGTTCACCAGTACTGCTAATAAAGGTTGCTATTAAAGAAAGTATTTTTTACATGTAAATAAAAAAAAAATGCTTTCACAGTGTTTTGAAGCATTTTGAAATAGAACGCATTATTTTTGTACGATAAACCTCCTACGCAAAAAAAGTTAGTTAAGTGTTGTAGTTCCTGTCTCTTGTAAATAGATATTAACCTTCATAAGGTATGCATTTTAATCATGTTTATTTCTGAACCATAATGAGTGCCAAAAAGTACTTTGACCTTTATTTATGATTGTGGCATGGTTACCAAAAAAAATGTATGTCGTACATGAAGTTCCTGATTTGACCCTTAGATAATGTCCTTAAAGTAGGGTAAGTCTGCTAGGTTGTCACCAATCGTTTTTATCGTTTTTACAATGAAATTAAGGACGCAAAATGAAATGAAATGAAATATTACGAGAAAAGGCAGAGTATTCAAGCTCAAAAGTCCATTTTATTTATACAAATTTAGAGCAAAGCAAATGCGGACCCCTAAAACATCAAAAGGAGATCAGGTGCCATGACGATGATTGATTAATTACATATTTCTTTACGTTCCCTTCTAGAATTTTCAGTCATTTAGAGACGTTAAAATATACCGGTGGAAGGCTTCAAATTATGACCTTTAGCCGGCAATCAGGGTCATTGAGCATTATGATATTTTTATCGTGCTAACGCCTGTATGAGACGGGCTCTGGTTTTTAAGGCGCCATTATTAAAAAAAATGCAAATTTCCTGCCGCCCAGTCACACACCTTGTCATAATCGGGAAATAGCGGGAAAATCCATCGAAAATATAGTGTATAAATAATGGTCTATCAATTAGTATGAAAAACGTCAGTAAGCATTTGACTTAATGACAAATTGAATTTGCTGAAAAGGATATCGTATCGACCATAGAACTTGCGAAATGATGACTTTAAACGAGAATGTTGATACCTGAAAAACGCCAGGAAAGAGTACAAAGTTAAGTCACCCAAACTACCAGACGTCTGCAGACGTCTGTGTTTTTTTTAATTTAGTCAAAACGGTAAGGACCAAATTCAGTTGAATCTATTGCAGATAAATCCTCTTATTGAAATCCACACAGACAATTTTTAATTTTCTCTTACATCTTTTTACAAAATCCATCCATCAGCTACCTCTCTGAAAATAGCCATAAATTAACTGCATTTTGACAAAAGATATTTACACTGTTAACCAATGGTACCCTACAGCAATCCACTGCTACAAAAACAAATAAATAAGCAGTACATTCAAACTATTTGGATATTGTTCATGTATATGCAATCGTTGTATTAGTTGATTTGTAAGTTATAGTTTGATAAAAATTCTGTTCAATAACAGTGATTATTCTATTTTTACTCATTAGATTTTGAAACATACCATAATTTCACATTACTTGCGATCAAAACTGTATTTTATACGTTGTGTTAACGTTTAAAAATATTATTTATTCCGGTTGCTAAAGGAGGGACACAAAATTAAAAAGAAAAAGGTCAACTAATTGAAAAAGAAAGGATTTTTAAACTGTTTTTCTTTAGCAGGACAAACACACAATTAGTTCTTTTTGAGGTTGATAATCTTAATACGTTAAAAGCAGTGTAAGTATTCCTAACACATATTGTGGTTCTTTAAAAAAAACTGTTTTTCATTCATGACAATGAATTATCGAAATAAAAATTAATTGTGCATAGCTATTTGCAAATTAGACAAGCGTCCACCGACTGTGGCCTGATGGCACAATGAAAAATTCGGTTATTAAAAATAAACTTTGAAAAACAATTTTTTGTCAAGTAATTAAACAGATTTTTCATTCCTGTAAAAATGAAACAGGATTGTTTTTCTCTAACAATTGAAACCTCCATTTACATTTTAAAGATTAAAATAATGATTTTCTTCTGATATCTGAATTTTTTTTTTTTTTATCAATTTCAATAACTATGTAATTAATAATAAAGGCATAAATGTCATTATTTAAGTTCAACAAAAGTTCGTTGTCATTATGAGCTCTAGTTTCTATGTTTAAGTAACCTTTAATAAGATCATCCCGCTGACAAAGCTAAAAATATTAAAGATTATATTTTATGTTTAATATTTAAAAGCATTGTAAACGAAATGTATCTTATTATTAACTATTTTGCTATAAAACGCTTCGAACAGTCTTGGAATGGATAAATATTTGCAAACAAATAGGTTTTAGCAAGAATTATACAAAAGGTAAATGTGCTATCATAGTGTTCTTTTCGCTGATGAGGAAATATTCGTATAGATGTGTTTTAAAACTTGCTGAGTATTTTCTATTAAAAACAAATATATTTTTACTTTTTAATCATCACATTTATTCTTTACTTATCAGGCACACCTTGCTTAAAACAAGGAAAATGTTTCCTGTGATTTAAAAAATTAAACAATCACAAATATAATGAGTGTACAACTGTTAAAAATAATTTTACTCTAGTTGATCTTTCGTCACCTTTTGTGTAAATTACCTGATCCTCGCAAAGAAAACTCGATTTTTTACGTTTACACTGATGTTGATAGCCCAAAAATGATATATGACCGCAATTAATGTAATTATAGATACTTCAGTTTCAGTGAACTAAATATATAATTAAGTTTCGTGTTTGATTTATTTTTGGTTGTTAATTGACAGGACCACGGTTTTGATTTCCTCTTCGTTTTTCCTTATAATGAATTATAGCATTCTGTGTCTTTTGCGTTGTTATAAGTCTTGTTGAGTTAACATTGGAAAATGCACTTAGCTGTAGACAACATATGTTTATGCCAGTGGTAATTTTTACTGCCATAAGATCAAAGCACGAATCAAAAAGAGCTGAGAAATAAGTATTTTTACAAACGAATTAATTATGATAGCATATATAATTGAATTGTGTTTAAAGGTAAACTTAATAGGACATTTTTATCTGAAAGTAAACCGGCAATCAATTATTAATATTATTCTTCATAATCAAATTGAAGTTTAATATCATTTTAATTAGAACTTTCTTTCTTAGAATAAAAACTGCATGTAATTTTTATTATATTTTTTTATTATTAGTCTAAATATGACGTGTAAATTAAAATTTTAATGTAGGATAGTGAAATGAGATCTAACTGTCCCCAATTTTATGGCATATCCTAAATAATTTGATTTGAAAATGACATACTTAATACACATGGGACACCTTTGTCAAAAATACTATTAAGTAAATTATTAGTTTACGTCTTTTATAAGAGTTTTCCTGGAATAAATATACGAACCAATCTTTTTTAATAAATTAAATTTGAACATTAAATTATCAAATCTTATCTATAGTAAATAAAAAGTATTTCATTATACATGCTGTTAATCACAACCATTTACTATATCAAATCATTTTTTTTTCTGTACTCAAGCTTCGTATTTTTTTTTTTAAACTTTTGTTTTCAAATTGTCATATTTTATTTTCTATTATTTCTATATGCAACTTTTTTTCTTTTATTTAAAAAAAGACGATAGTATATAAATTTTTCAAAATTATGTGATTTAAATATTCATTTTTAACAAGTTCAAGAAAAACAAGATTTTGTACAAAATACAAGAGAATTGTGTTTCTTATAAATCCGTTTGGAAAAAACTTGATTTGACAACATAACATTTTAAGTGTTTCTATTTCTCTAATGACAATTAGAAACCTGTTTAGAAATCATAGGGTAAGATTGTGAATATTTTGCACGCAGTATAAAGATGAAAAATAATTTTTTGAGGAATGTATCGTTTGACCTTAAGAAAAATCTTAGTTTAATCATCACATTATATTTTGCACATTTTACCTCACTGACTTAGAATTTAAAGACAGTAAGGATTTATATCACAGCAGAAATATTTAAGCTGTAAAGTACAGTTTCATAGTGAATCAACGTTCCATATACTTATGAGTTAGAGTACCTAATTTAAGCGAGTTATTAAGGTATTTAGAGACCTATTGTAAAATATAGTGATCGGCGATTAAAAATAAAGGACCTATATCTTATGCCCCCTTTTCAATATTTTGAGGAATATTGTAGTAAAATTGAACTGGTATAAGAATGTATTTATAAACTATGTCGTCGCAGAGAAAAATAATGATCACTCCATTTTTAATATTCTTAAAATAGTTTTGGAAAAAATTTTATACCTTCTATGGTTAATGGAATAAAGGTATCTCCACATTTATTGCTCGTGATCCGCCTCTGAAGTATTCCATCTTTCATAACAACTGGATAAAACTGGGGGTCCAGATGGTTTGTGTAATTGTACCACATCATGGTAAACTTGTAGTCAACATTAAAATCAAAGTAACAGACATTATTTACACAGTTCTGATGTGGCCTCACGACACGACAATGGCACTCAAAAAGGAAAAGGGCAAGGAAAAGTAGCCGCAGAACCATCCTGCTTCTTTTTTCTACTGAGTCTTTAATTGACCTCTTGCAGAAGTGCACACCTGGCAGATATTTTTTTTAATTTAATGAGACCCTACTCTAGGTCATCCTCAATAGGGTCTAATTAACTTTAAGATAATTGTTCATTTATATATAGATGACATCAGCTATATACTGAAGTATACAATCCAATCACGTCCTATGTTAAGTTGAGGACACATTAAAAAGAGGTTTCTATTTACAGAATAAGCCCATTTAATTTCAGATGTAGAAATAAACTAGGTGATTTAATTGTTCTTTCAAACAAAAAAAAACTAAAAAGGATTTAATATATACAGTTTTTAGAAAAGTAACCAATCGTCAGGACAGATGAAACAAACAACGTTTTTTTTTTTAAAGATTACAAGATCAGCCATGCTTATTTAATGATATATATTTTTTTCAAAGTTTAATAACAATGGGACTTTACGTGACAAATACTTGTAAAAAGTAATGAAGATGGTTGCACTTTTTTTATTTCAATTATTATGAAATTTTTATGCATTGTCAACGATTACTTCCGTAATTTTCCTGTCATGACAAGGAGCACACGGCGGGTGTGAGCAGTACGCAGGGGATGCCCACTACCCCATGGCACCTAATCCCAAAATCTATGTTTTTTTACCTTATCGAAAGGATCTTGGAGTATAAGAAGAGCCTAGTGCCCATACCCATTTTGCAGCTATGCAAGAGGGTTTATTGGAAATAAAAGTATCTCGAATGCTTGAATTTATCTGGGCACTTGCATGTTTACAGTAGTCGTCAAAATGGTGTTTATAAACTAACCAAGCTGACCAGTTGATTTTCATTATCTTGCACAGAATGTCTAAAAGTGGTAGGGACATCTATTCTTTGATATGCATACTGAGTGTTAACTCGTAATTAATGTTGAGATATAAAATTGTTTACATTATATACATGTATAACAATAGTGATGATCTAGAATTCAGCACTTGTAATAAAAAAAAATAGAAACGAGAATAAACGTGTTTTAAAATTTATTTTAATTTCATAATTACATACATATATTTTTCAGTAAATTTTCTTTTGTTTAACAACTTAATTAAAAAGATAAATGAAATTAAATTTAAAAAATAATAAAATTTTAGGGCATGATTTGAACTCTTTCCTCCAGATATCTCCCTTGAAAGAGATCCTTACTAACCACTGGACCATACAGTTAAACATACTTTTATATAGCTCACAATTCTCCATATCTAGCAAACGTATTTGGACCTAATTGTTTTAGATAAAGTAGGTCTATATACCACATTTTTGCACTCTGTTCCTTTCATTAATTGTTTCCAAAAAAATATTTAATGACGCACACCATTTGAAAAAATATAATTAAAGAATCCAATGTATTTCAGTTTTTTGAAAATCGAGCGTGATGTAATTTTCTATGTTAATCAGAATCGATTTTGTTTTTACAATATTCAGGTTTCTCTTTCAATTCTGTATGCATATGATAAAAATTTAACAAAGAGCGAAATTTGAGCAGTATCCTATTGACTTTTTATATGTCATTATGTGGATTTGCTTATCCCCCCCCCCCCCCCCGTTTTCTTTGTATTTTTAATGACCTTGAGCTTGAATATTGTTCGTTATCTCCATATTTCAATTAAATTTCTTGATATTTTAGAGATTAATTATATTCAACGTTAACAACAAAAATAGGTTAAACAGTGAAACACTTTGCATCCGATGGTAACACAATTCTGGAGTGGGTCGTACACTGAAGTGGTATACACTTACCCTTGACAGCACAATAGTTATGGGCTAGGTTAAAGTTGACAACTGACAGACAAACAGACAAACAATCAGACAGGACAAAAACAACGCAGCACAGTTAAAGTTACAGTAAGGAGGCGGGGCCAAATTTCCACGGAAAATGATTTTTATGACGTCACACAAAATATAAGGTCTTCACAGTACCACAAAATGAACTTATTTATTATTCTAAACTGCTGGATAGCTCTAGACTACATAAAAACTTACTATTACATGCAGTTTTGTTGTTTGTTAAATCACACAACAATATATAAACGATACGTCGATTGCAATGCACTTGTCAATGTGACCTCAAAAATTAATGAAAGATATTTTGAAAAGTAAATTTACCATATTGAGATTCCTTTCTATTTTTTAAAAGGAAATAATACTCATGTATAAACCTTTTGTTCGGAAAGTTGGTCATTCTATTTTGTTACGTCAATATCTTCAAACTTGAATTAATTAATTCAATTCAATTTTTATCTCTAGTATTCATTTAAACCACAAGAGGGAAATACGAGGGGCATTTCAAAAGTTCTGGCAACTGTTTAATAAAAGATTAACTGTTTTATGGAAATTATTGAGTTTGACATCATTGGAAAGATCAGAAAAATATACACATATTGTGACGTCACTTTATAATTTTTATGACGTAATAACTCCGAGAATGACGTCAGAATAAAGAAAGTTTAGCATACTGACCATAAAAATGACGTAACAAAAGACACAATTTGATAAAATTAAAATTTTCAAGACAACTTTTGCTCATTACTCGTTCGCAAGTTAACGGACGCAAATGCCAGTTGGTGGAATGTTTACATAGATTACAATCTATCATATGGTATTTTATTTTGGAGATTTTCTTATTTTGATATGGTTTTAGTGAGTGTCAAACTTAGCATGGTTTTTTCGAATCTCGCTCAAACTTTTGCGTAATAGAGATCTAAATGTGAGAAAAAGACAAAGTTGACAATCAAAGAAAAATAGGCGATCGTGTTACAAAATTAGATGGCATAAATTCGTCAGGTGTTTTAACCAGATTCTTGGGATCAATGAGGGCTCAAGAGAAGTTAAGTTTAGTGTGCCCCATATTTTGTCGTAAAATCCAAAATGGCGGCAGTGCAGTTGTAACCCCACCGTACCTCCACATATTCGCAAATTTTAATGCATGGAAAATAAATAAGATTTTACATGTCTGAGTGACTTATATTCATTTTTTGGAGTCAAAAGTCGAAAGCAGTAGTGAGTTTTGGGGCGCCAAAGTTGAATTTATTTGAAAATATACCCACAGAATTAAGTCGGGGACAAAATTTAGTACATTTTATTCGAAAACGGTAAGAGTCCTGTTATTCAAAATATATTTGATGAAAACTGCATTAATATACTTCAGTTAATACAGAACATGTTTTATTTCAAACAATGAAGAGCTATATAAAAGACCGAAAATCCAGCCGTATCATGTAAATAAAAATCTTAAATGAATGTCTATGATAGCATAACCGGACATAAACCGTGCTCGTAAACAAACCATACAATGAATAATGGAATTGCTGATAAACAGTATCATAGTCCTACTATACCTCTTTGCAAATTAAAATTTTCTTTGAAATATTTTTTCAAATAAGCCTTTGACAGAGCTTTTACGATCGGCTCATCTGGATGAAAACGCGACTTTTCAGTATGCTAAACATTCTATATTCTGACGTCATTTTCGGAGTTATTACGTCATAAAAATTATAAAGTGACGTCACAATATGTGAATATTTTTCTGATCTTTCCAATGATGTCAAACTCAATAATTTTTGTAAAACGGTTAATCTTTTATTAAACAGTTGCCAGAACTTTTGAAATTCCCCTCGTATCTCTTAGCACTGCATCATTTTGCATATTAATCAAAGCAACTCAGAATGTGAAATGGCTGTTCCTTTTTACAAATTTATACAATTAATTATTAATCACTGATTTATCAAACACGAATTCTTATAGGTAAATTGAAAGTCCATCAGTTTGGAATGCTCTCAAAAAATTGATTGCACTGCTGTTAGAATGTGTATGAAATATATATATAGATAACGAACAATAATAAAGACCAAAAGTCAAAAATAAAATACAAACTGAGAGCAGAGTAAACACGGACCTCCAAAACATAAGAAATGGGATCAGATGCGATAGAGAAGTGAGCATCCTCTGCTGACTGGTCAGAGCCGCCTTTTGCTCCTTGTCACGATCGAGAAATAAATGAACTAACAATTAGTATTAAAAGAGGTAATCAGCATTCAGAATTTATCATATTGAGATTCCTACGTATAAAAACTTTCTAATACGAGGTAAGTAATTGAAAAACAAGTTGATGAAACAAGAACATCAGCAAACTCGTTTTATGTCATCATTTCATAATATGGTCGATACAATGACCTTTTCAGCAAGTACAATTGATCATTGAATCAAATGCTAGCTGACTTTTTTTTATATAGTTATTGTTATTCTATTATTTAAACACTGAATTGACGACGGATTTTTCCGATCCTGACAAGGAGCACAAGGCGGGTGTGACCGGTCAGCAGGGGATGTTTACTCTTCCATGGCACCTGATCCCACCTCTGGTGTTTTGGAGGTCCGTGTTTGCTCTGCTCCTACTTTTTTATTGTTTTTTGGACTTTTATATTGAATACCGTTCGTTATCTCCATATCCTTTAAAACCAGTGTTAAGCTCATGTATTAATTGATTAATCATCATATTACCTGGTGGTTACTTTGTGAAATCTGATTCATAATTATTATGATAATTGAGATGAAAAGGGGATTTCTTAGTGTGTTAATTTATCAATATCATCTTCAATCAATTGAATTGATGATTTCCTTATTATGTTCCCCAAACGAAGTTGGGGAACATATTGTTTTTACTCTGTTTCTTATTATTATTATTATTTTTCTTCTTCTTCCTGGGTACTTTTTTGTCCGGGAATGATCTTGTAAACTGTTCGTCCGATGTAGTTAAAACCTTTTTAGGGTCAGTAGACATGTTATGTAGATTTGCGGAATCAAGGTCATTTTGCGCGCACGTGCTTGCAAGAGCGCGCACGTGCAACACGTGAAATGACCAATATAATAGATAGAGCCGCAACTTTTCTTTTTTTTGATGAAATGCTTTGAAACTCATAATGTGAGGATATATTAGTAGTATAGACATGACGACATGGTCAAATTTGCAAGATCTCACGCGCATGCACGTGCGCTTCGCTCTGATTGGCTGACACTAAAGTCTCAATATCTTTCTTGTTTTTTGACG